TGTTATCATTCATCTAGCACTGAATCTAAAGAAATCGGTAGCTTTATGAGAAATCAATAGAAATTTTAGCGTGTCAAAAAAGCCAATAAGCTTGAACTTCTCTGGGCTCCTAGCCCTAATGCTCCTCTTCCCATCCAACGTAGGGCAGTGAATTTTACGGGACATTAACGCCTCTACTCTACGAGAAACGCGGAACTCAGATCGGCTTCAGTATGTGTGTGGTAATTAAAAAGAACAAAGAGGACAATTTATGTCGAGAGGGGCGGTCGATCGCTTAAACGTTTGGGAAAAAATTTTCAATTTTTTGAGATGAAATTCCGCATTATTACTTGCAGCTAAGCTGCATTTTATCATCAGCCGAATGAGTGAGGAAACCACTGCGATGTAGTAATAACAGACTTGTGCATGCTTTACTGCATTACCAGCTGTGGGTCCGCAGCAACCTAATTCGAAAACGAACAGTTATGCGTGTTGTTATTTATTATAATTTTTACCTGTAGAAGTAGCGTTAACCACGGATGCATCGCTCAGCGAGGAAGTAAAAATGACAACTTCAACGACAGTCACCAGTGGTCTAAAGGATGGCGATTATACGGAGCTCAGCAAAGAAGCAACTACCAGCGCTGCCAAATCCTCAAATGCGGGTGACAGCAGAGCAAAGCACGGAACTAACGACATATCGGAAGAACTAAAGGACGAGAACAGTTCAGAGCAGCCAGACAGCTCATTCCGGACTGACCCCGCCGAGTTTGCTGCATCTGCTGAAACAACTGCGAGCGCGATGGAGAAGATTTCTAATGCGCTGACACGAAAACTGAAAAAATTGAGAGCTGAAAGCGGTGCCGCCACCTTTCGCAAACATCCAAAATCACTCAAATCCAAAAAGTTGAAGGTAATTTTTAGGTTATCTCCATCATTCGGGAGGTTCACCGCTCACCATTATCTGCTCGAATTTATGAATTTAGAATTTGATATCAGAAACGAATTCTATGCCAGTCTGACTATTTTGCTTAGTTATGCCTCCGAAAAATGACAGTGCCATCGTGACCTAGCAAAGAATGTTTTTTGTGCGTCCTTTTCATCCAAACAACCCCTACGAGCAACGGCATGAATTTTTGATTTTTGAAAATTAATTCCAAATAACCAAGTCCCAAGACAACTTGAGTGCCTCGATTACTCATATATTTAAAGTATGATAATGCCAAAGTGACTGCATCATAGTTCTTAAGCAAATTCACAGTCATTGTATGCTAACCAACGATCTATTCAATATTTTGAGTTCCAGCAGATCAAGGAGGATATAATTTCCGAAGAAACTGAAGAAGGCTCGGATGAAAGTGTGCCATTTCAGGTTTTATGCTTTTTTTCAGTTTTTTTTT